TTCTTTGCATCAGGTGGCCAAAGGATTGGAGCTTCAGCTTCATCTCCAGTCCTTCCAGTGAATATTCAGGATTGATTTCCTTTAGGATTGACTGGTTTTATCTCCTTGCAGTCCAAGGAACTCTCAAGAGTCTTCTCCAACACCACGGTTCAAAAATGTAAATCCTTCGGCACTCAGCTTTCTTTATGGTCCAACTCTCACATCCATACCTGACTACTGAAAAAACCATAGCTTTGACTAGATAGACCTTTGTCGGCAAAGTAATGTCTCTGCTTTTTAATATGCTGTCTAGGTTGGTCATAGCTTTTCTTTCAAGGAGCAAGCATCTTTTAATTTCATGGCTGCTTCACCATCTGCAGTGATTTTGGAGCCCAAGAAAATAAACGTCTGCCACTGTTGCCATTGTTTCCCTATCTATTTGCCTTGAAGTGATGGGACCGGATGCCAAGATCTTAGTTTGTTGATCATGGCATTTGAAAAAAAATGCCCTGAGAAAAGCAATAAATTGATAAATATTTTTACACATGTATGTATAAAATGATTTAATTATCTGAAAGAAGAGAGACGGGACATAAGAACTCTGAGCAGCTTATAAGAGGGATAGAAGAGGGACTGAAAAGGATGCCAGAAATGAGAAGTAGGAAAGTTCTCTAAAGTCTTCACTCAGGGTTGGCCCTATGACTGCAACTGCTGAGCAAAAGACCCTGTATTCTAGAACCATCACCATTTCCTAGAATAAGCACAGAAGATTGAAGGATTCCGTCCAGGACTTCTTGCTCATTTTCCTATGGTATATGCTATTTCCAATACTAAATGCCATTTCTTCATGTGTACCTTGAGCAGTGATTCATGCTGTGTACTCCTTCCTCCTATTGGACAACATAACTTTTGATGGGCAAGTAGATCATCTGTAACCTTTAACTACTGGCAGAAATGAAATAAAAGATCTGTCAAATTTAAGCTTCCAAGCTAAAAATAAAGGTTATGTTTCTATGTTAAGAAACATGTTTGCTGCCCTGTAGTTCAAATGGTAAAGAATCTTCCTGCAACGCAGGACACCTGGTTTCAATTCCTGTGTCAGGAAGATCCTCTGGCAAAGGGAATGGCAATCCACTCCAGTATTCTTGCCTGGAGAATGGACAGAGGAGCCTGGCGGGCTACAGTCTGTGGAATTGCAGAATCGGACATGACTGAGCAACTCACACTGCTACTACTACTACTAACCAAAATGATAAACAAAAGACTCTAAACAGGATACACTCATTTTATAGAGTTTAGAGTAAATGTGGTAGTCATATCTTTGTACTTAAATTTTGTAATGTGAAAGCAGTGAAGTTTTTTTTTTTTTAACATGGAAGAGGAATTGCATTTAAAACCAGAATTAGGTATAGAATTTGCATGCTTGTAACTTCATGTGTTTAAGAATAAAATACAATTGGTGCAGTTTTAAGTTTGACCAATTAAATTCTGCTGAACACCTGCATATCTCCAGGGGATATGGGCACTAAACCACCAGAATTTTATTTTTGACTAGGCATGTACTGACTGGTCATACGGACATTTTATGTTTTGGGTTATAAACTATACGTCTTTAGATTTGGAAGCATAGTGGTTTTGTATAACGGGATGTAGTTATTCCTGAAAAGATTTAAATCAATTTCTTAGCAATGTTTTACAGATTACTTTAAAAGAAGCTATGTACAAGAGGGTTAATCATATAAAAGATTCTAAACTCAATCATTTCTCTTGTTGATTTAGTTTAGATTATTTCCAGTTGATTTAAATTTTCTAACGCTAAAAGCTGCATTTTCCTTAATCCATAAGTATGTGTTGAAAAATCCATTCAATTAAGTGCATTGCCTTAGAGAGTTACTCCGTTGCTACTGACTTAAAGAGAAAAAAAATCTGTAAACCTGCCAAGTGTGGGGGTATAAGTTGGAAGATTTGTGCTGTTGAAGGAAGATAGTTCAGCATTGTAGGAAGATTTGGAATAGATTACTGGTATAGTCAGTTCTTGAGTGTGAAATACCACACTGTCTAATGTGACATTTTAGAAGAAAATTAATAAAAGATGAATGCAAGGAAAATGTGTCTTTGTAAAATAGTTATTTCAGCTGCTTACTCAAGAACTTTAATTTTTGCTTCATAAAAAACAGCATTCTGAAATTGTGAAACTGAAATGCACCCCTAAATACCCTAAATTCTAGTTGTTAAGAAACTAGACATGAGAAAATTAAGTCAATTTGTAATTCTTCACACTTAGCTCAGTATCACATAAGAAGTACAGTGCCTTGTATTCAGTAATTATTCTCTGTTGAATGAATGAATGGATGAGTTAAAGAATGAATGACCCACCAACCACGTTTCGCTGGCCTTTTTAGTTTGTGTACTATATAATTTTAATTACTGGATCCCACCAAAGAAAGAAGTAGCCTTAAAAATAAAGATCCAAGGCAGAGATATGAGATTGTGGATAATTTTTATTTTGCTCTTTCTGTTTTTGTGTATTTTCCAAATTTTTGACAATTAATGTTATGTAGTTGAATTTTTTTCAAGATTGTACATGGATAGAATTTATCTTAAAATCAAATATAAGTCTTACCTCTAATAACTAGTATCTCATCTGTGATTCAAATTGCAGAGGCCTTGCTTTTATAATTAAGGCTACTTTTAAAAACTAATATCATTATAACCAAACAACATTTCTAAGATTTTTTAAGGAAGTAGAATTTTATCTTAACCTGTAGAAACTGAATTGTTATTTCTGCCACTGATATCAAGCAATATCAGTCACATTTTGTAGTGTTGAAAATGTTTATCCTGCCTCAATAAACATAAAATTAAATTAAAATTAAAAGCTTATCCTTTTCTGAAAAACACCCAAGATACTGGATTGAATGACAACTTTCTTATTGCAAGTATAATTGTATTTTTTAAATTATTAAATATATTTATAAAAGTTAGTTAAACTTGTAAGTCCTTTGGGTAAGTGGATATTTTGAGTCCCCCCACTTCAAGTATAATCATATTTGAATGACTTTTTAAAAATAACCATGCTAACCTATAAAAACAATTCCCTGCTCTTCCTGATAGGAACAAAGTATTGAAGCCGGGCGGATATATATTCTGAGCCATTGTGGCATTTGGTAGTTGAATCTGATGACTAATAATAGAGATTTTTGTCTAGGTGAATCACATGCACTTAGTTATCTGCCCACTGGAATGACACAATGAGGAGCTATCTGGTAAATATTGTGGAACATCTGTGAATGGGTCAAAGATATGCCTGATATGAATCATTCTTCCCTCAAAAATCTTAAGTTTAATAGTTAAAAAATTCCAAACTGTTGTTGCATAAACTGAGATGTTTGGCCTGTTCAATGGGTTGGGAAGGAATGAATACAACACATACTCTGAGACATTTTACCAGTAAGTTGTTTGGCTGTGCTTTAAAGCTCTAAATTTAGGAAAACCAAAAAACGTGTTGAAGATGGTTAGTAAGAACCACTGCAAGTAATCAAATACATCTTCTTCAACTGCTCACCACCATTGTGGAGACTATGGGACATAATAGTTTTCCCTATCAGGGAAATAGATTTCCCATCTTCAAATTCAAAGGGCTTAGTTTAAAGTGTGCATAGCCTGATAGCTATGGCACTCCCATCTGCAGAGGTCTCATGCATGCAAGGGAACTTGAGAAAGCATTTTGTGCATACCTCTTTAGGTGACAGTTTCTTTCATTGAGTGATCCTGTTTCACATTGATTTCCCTAATCTGGGGTCAAACTCTTTTCTTTAGAGCACTGTAAAAGCAACTGAGAAAAAAAGAAAAACTAAAGGTTTGTATAGGTTTAGCCTGGTATGAAGCTATAGTTTCCTGGATACTGCTAATGCTGCTTTTACAACTCGTTCTGGGTAATTTAGCCTACCTGGTTATAGAAATGAGGTGGGTGGTTGGGGGGGTAGCTTAGTTTGTGCTTTTATTTTCAGTTCTGGGAGTAAGCTACTACCCCTATAAGATCTGAAATATTTAGCGTTGTCTTGCAGATTGACTTTTCTCTGAGACTTTGATAAACCTTATCTTTGCTTCTTTTGATTCTTCCCCACTGAAGAGAAAATGAATCTGCACAAAGTCTATTTCCAGGCATGCTTACAAATAAGAGTGTGTTTGTGTGTGTCCTTGTATTTTGTGAAATGTGAGCAAGTTGTGGTGGATATCTTTGCCAAAAATAATAAACATATATTTAGAACTTTACAACTTTTATGAGAATGTTTTTAGTTGTGGCAAACAAGTTATATAGACCAATATTTAAGGATGAAAAGTATTTTGTAAGTTAATATTTGATGGAATATGTATATATCTGTTTGACGATGGTGTGATCAACAGGGCCAACTCTACAAAAGCAAACAGAGTACTTAATGTGTTGCAGTTCAAAGAGGCTCACTGCTGTCTTTAAATTCTAGACTCTGGGCTTTCAGAGAAATAAACCTTTTTTAAATGGAAGGGAGAAAAATGAAATGTGTGAATGTTATGTGTTCCTAACAAAGTCTAAATTGATTGGATTTGTCCTACAAAATATTAAAATGTAAATTTGTCCCTAATGTTTTGTTTTTAAATAGATCTATAACCATTGTTTTGCATTGAAATGTATATTCATACATTTTATCTGATGATATTTTGGGAAAATAAAGTTTCTTTTTTTAAAGGAAAGCATGAAGAAGAATATACATATGGATATACGAATTGTTTAAAATTACCAATAGTTTCTTTTCTGAACTTGAAAACAGTTATGTTTCTAAATATGAGAACAGTGATTTTGCCTAAATTTGCAATATAATGACCAGGACTTCTCTCCTTTTTAGAGAAGCAGTCAAGTATTCTGGAACAGATAAGACAGCATCGATCCAGTGAGGTTGATTACCCACAGAAGAAAGCTATGCATACCTAACTTGCTGGAAGGTAAACTACTCTTCAATTAATGATGTCCTCCTTTTCTCAAGGTGTCCAAAGACAGGAGGTGGTCTGTAAAAGGTTGGATGACAACTCCATTGTCCAGAACAATTACTGTGACCCTGATAGTAAGCCACCTGAAAATCAAAGAACCTGCAACACTGAGCCCTGCCCACCTGAGTAAGTAAGAGAAAGAAGTGAGAAATATTTTCAAGTGCAAAGAGAAAAACATTAGATATTCTTATCTGGAAACATAGATTCATATGATATTAATAAATTAAGCTAAGAAAATCAAGTAAAACAGCACAGAGGGTAAGATTTTGATTCCTATTTATTCACAAAATTTAGTAAGTAACCCCTTTAGAGCAGGAACTTCAGTAGATTGACCCTGGCATAGTGCTGGCAGTTGTCATATTTCCTTAATTCTAAAGCACATATCTTTCACATTTTAACATCTCCAAAATTAGATTCATTTTGCAATTGATGGTGTCTTACAGTAATAATCAGCATTATTTTTGTTTAATGGTATATAAAATAATGATATCTTAGATTCAGTAAACTATGAAAGATTGGCATGCAGTCCTATCTTTTCCAGATATTTATCTTAAAGGCTTAAAGACTTTTTTAGTTGTTTAGAAATATTCTGTAGCAGAATATCAGTGCTTTAATTTGCTGACCCGGTTTTAAATTCTGTCATCCTAAGGCATCCTGTCTTCTAAGTGTTGAGCACAGGCATCGACGTGTACTTCAGTCCCTTTCCTTTGATTAATGTAGCAATTACAACTTACTATAAAGAGAGGCAGAAGAAGAGAGCCCATTCATCTTAATGATGACTTTAAAAAATTCAAAAATGTGAGACATGCTGTCAGTGGCCACACTCTATAATATGAAAGAAAGGTTTTTTGATTGAACAAAAGGCAATAATTATGTGCAAAAAGACAAAGATAATGAGTTAATCCTTATCATGGATGGAAGACAGAACATGTATGGAAGGCATTTCATTCTTCTTTCAGAAATCGGAGTAACATTATCCCAAGGTTAGCTAATTATTCCCAACATGAAATTTATTTAAAAAAAAGAAAGTAAGCAAAGGAATTTATGTATTCCAGGCTCTCTAGAACTGAAGAGAGAAATTCTATAACGAAGTAATTCTTTCTCTAAAACTAAGAGTCACAAAAATCTGAGACTTAAAATGGATAAAGAATTCTGGTCCCTCATTTGGTTTAAAAAAAGTCTAAGGCATAGACAGAAAGCAAAGAGGAACTAAAGAGCCTCTTGATGAAGGTGAAAGAGGAGAGTGAAAAAGCTGGCCTAAAACTCAACATTCAATCTTTCTCTATGTTGTTTCCTATTTTATTTATTTTTAATTTGAGTTTATTTTTTTTTCATTTATATGTTTTTATTTTTTTTAATTAATTTATTTTAGTTGGAGGCTAATTACTTTACAATACTGTAGTGGGTTTTGCCATACATTGACATGACATACATGTCATGGTTTTTGCCATACCTATGACATAATACATAGAAAATTTTTTAAATAAATAAGTAAAATCTGTTTTTAAGAACACTACACATTGCCCATTTTTTTGGGGGGGGGACCTCAACATTCAAAAAACAAAGATCATCACATCTAGTCCCATCACTTCATGGTAAATAGATGGAGAAACAGTGGAAACAGTGACAGACTTTATTTTCTTGGGCTCCAAAATCACTGTAGATGGTGACTGCAGTCATGAAATTAAAAGGCGCTTGCTCCTTGGAAGAAAAGCTATGACAAACCTGAACAGCATATTAAAAAGCAAAGACATTGCTCTGCCAACAAAGGGCCGTCTAGTCAGAGCTATGCTTTTTCCAATAGTCATGTATAGATTAATGAGAGTTGGACCATAAAGAAAGCTGAGCACTGAAGAATTGATGTTTTTGAACTGTGGTGTTGGAAAGACTCTTGAGAGTCCCTTGGACTTCAGGGAGATCAAGCCAGTCAATCCTAAAGGAAATCAGTCCTGAATATTCATTGGAAGGACTGATGCTGAAGCTGAAACTCCAATACTTTGGCCCCCAGATTAGAAGAACTGACTCATTGGAAAAGACCCTGATGCTGGGAAAGATTGCAGTTAGGAGAAGGGGACCATAGAGGATGCAATGGTTGGATGGCATCACTGACTCAATGGACATGAGATTGAGCAAGCTCTGGGAGCTGGTGATGGGCAGGGAAGCCTGGTGTGCTGCAGTCTACAGGGTTACAGAGTCGGAGACGACTGAGCAGCTGAACTGAGTTAAACTATCTTGGAGCCATGAGTGTCCCCAGAGCAGTCTTTGGAGTTTTGCATTCAGCAGCAACTAATGCAAAGGCTTGTCCCAGAGGCTCTCAGGGCCAGTTAGCTCTGGGTACTATGGGGTTAGAGATTTGACCTTTGTGTATATGTGACTGTTTCTGCATTAGACTGAGCCCTAACCCTAGCCAGCAGAGAGGACTGGCTGGGAGAGTGAGGGTGGCATTCCCATCTTCGGAAACAAACTCAAATTCACTCTAACTCAAACTACACACCTCGACCTCTCAGGTTTGGAGCAGAGTGTCTGTAAGTATCCTGCATGTCATGGTTATCTTGCAGTCATTTTAAAGAATGCGTGTTCTAAAGAAATAACGGGCTTCACTGCCTAGTTGCCCAACTGGAATGACTGTTGATTCTCCTTGAGGAAGTAAGCACTCAGAATTTGTTGTCTTCAGGGAAACCACAGAGCTCTTCTTTTCTTGCAGGGCCTCTCAGGGCACCTGTGTGAGCAGGGCTGGTCTCACAGACTCCCTGTGAGAGCTGTCGTGGAGTGTCAGGCACACGAACCGCAGGGCTGGGCTTTTGACGATAGCTCCCAAAATAAGGTGCCAAGCCCTAGTTCTCACTTTCCCCTTGCGCCCTGTGAGACGCTGGCACTTCCTCTGGAGCCATTAGTCAGCAGCCTGAGCGTACAGAAATAGGCCGGATGCGCTGACCTGGGGAGCCCCGGTCTTCTCCTCTGGCAGGTCCTGTCCTGGCGCGGGGGGCCCAGGCCGGGCTGTGTGGGGCCACGTCCTGGTCTTCCATCCTCACTTCCTTTCGGGCAGCAATCCTATTCCAAAATGGAGCGCCACGTTCATAGGCCTTCGAAGGCGTTCCCTTGCAGTTAGCTGGTGAACACACTTCCTCACTTCTTTCATCTTTTCAACATCCACGTTTTCCATCTTCTTCTCCCAGTGAAAACATGGCCTGCCCTGTTCTCTGGTCCTCTCCAGAGCAGACCGTCCCATCTCACTGTCCACCCTGTCCATTCAGCTGTCTATGGATCTCCAGCACTCTCTTGCCCCCCTCAGTGGCTTGACATCTGCCTCACAGCTTTCCTGGCCACTTCATCCCTGCCAGCTCTTTGTAGATCCTTCTGGTACCCTGGCTTCACAATCATTTTGGAAAATTACAAATGACCCCAAATTCTGCCAACCTGTCACTCACAGTGATGAACATAACCTGGACATGGCATCGGAATGGCCCATGGCGTCTCAAATTCTCACAACCTACTCCACGCGACCTATCGAACGCTTTCTGCCTATGGAAGTATTTCTTTCCTCACCTGCTCACCCTTCCTGGAAACTCTTGTTTCCTCCATTCCCAGCCTGGACCCCTTGGCCTGCTGTCTCCAAGCTGCTCACTGATCCCGCATTCTTTATTCTTCTCTGGGTCCTTCTCGGCTGACTCCCCATCTCAGGTAATCCCTAACTCAGCTGTCTTTGCCTCTGTTCCCTGGAGCTCTCCTGGAAATTTACAAACTTCCTGTGATGTCTGAGCCCTCAAAAAACTATTCCATTTAAGGGTATTTACTTTACTATATCAATGTCAAATGTCTTGAGTATGATAATTATACTGCGGTCAGGTAAAGGAATGTAATTGTTCTTAAGAAATATATGCTGAATATTTATCAATAAATAAATAGTAATAGGTAGTTAACAGCAACAAAAAGACCATGTGTGTCTTCAAATGAATTTACATGTGAAACAGAAACAGACTTACAGATATTAAGAACAGACTTCTGGCTGTCGAGGTGGGCAGAGTGGTTTGGGAGTTTGGGATCAGCAGATGCAAACGATTATAATATAGAATGGATAAACAACAAGATCCTATTGTATAGCACAGAGAACTATATTCAATATCCTGGAATAAACCATAATGGAAAAGAATATGAAAAATAATTTTATATATATCTGAATCACTTCGCTGTACATCAGAAATTAACATTTTAAGTTAACTATACTTCAAAAAATACTTTTTAAAAAAAGACCACATGTGTCTGACTCTCTCCTCTACTATTCATTTTCCAAGGTAGGAATTTTGGCTCCTCAGAGCAGTTGTAAAAGATGGTGTGGGAGGTGGGAAGGAGGTTCAGGAGGGGCCGTATGTCTACCTATGGTATGATACATATGCCATATATCAACATGATTTATGTTGATATATGGCAGAAACCAAACAATATTGCAAAGCAATTATCCTTCAGTTAAAAAGAAATAAAAAGAAGCAGAAACTTATTGCCTGCCTGGCCCTTAACTTGAGGACTTTACACAATCCAACTCATTGACTTCTCCAATGACAATGAGAGAATTAGTGTTAATACTTCTTGAAATTTTTTGATGAAGAAATGGGCTCAGAGAGATTAAGTAAATTGCATAATGTCACAGAATTACTAAGTGGTAGAGTCAAGACTAGGGAATCTGGGTGAGACATTATCTTATACATCGTAAGATGATTGTAAACTGGGAAAAGTCTGTTGACTTTCATCAGAGCTCCTCCTGCATTTCAACAGCCTTATAAATCCTCCCTTGCTTACTCCTAATAGGAGGTATGAATACTTCAATTCTGATGCTATCATTCTTGGTCAGGGGGAACCAGAGCCCGAAGGCATTGCTTTGGGAGTCCAGTGAGCATCTGTTAGAATGTCGGGGTATTCTTCCATTCTCTGCCTATGTCTGACTGAATCGGTGCCCCCATGGGCTTCCAGAGGTCAGCACTTTGAACTCTCCTCATTACTCACTAGCTTTCACGGGCAAATGGTTTAAACTCAGAGGTTCAGTTTATCTGTAAAATGGGAATAACAACAATCCCCTTGTAGGGTTGTATTTACTAAAGAGCCTGACACAGACTGGGTCACAAATAGGCACATATCAGCTCCTTTCCCTCTCTTGCCACACCCACTTTGCTTCTTCAGTCTCTGTAGATGACTCTGAAACTTTCCTTCTGGGTGAACTTCTTCCACGTCCTTTTATCTCTATCAAAAATCTCTCATCTCCAGCACCACATTCTCAAAAACAAGTTGGCACATTTAGGCAGGGATCTTACTGTTTTCCAGTCCCTTTGTCACAGTAATTTCATCTCTAGGAATTTCTTATAAAGACGTAGTAGTGGAAATGTGTACATGTATTCTACATATAAATTCTATAACATAATTATACTACATATATTTTATTGATCTATTTTTTTTATGTGGACCATTTTTAAAGTCTTTATTGAATTTGTTACAATCTTGCTTCTGTTTCATGTTTTGCTTTTTTGGCCATGAGGCTTGGGGGATTTTAGGCCCCTGGCCAGGGACTGAACCTTCACCCCTTGTGTTAGAAAGTGAAGTCTTAACCACTGCACTATCAGGGAAGTCTGGCTATATCTTAAAATATTCTATATAAAAGATTCTATATCCTATGTTTTTGCATACATGCAAAGATGTTTGTTGTGTAATTACTTATCTCAGAAAAAAAATACAAATCTTCTCTGTATTTTTGCCCATTATTTCTTCTTTTCCTTTTACTTCTGAGAAACAAGTAACTCTTTTCCTCCCTAGATTCAACTAAAAAGTATATTGCAGAATAACTTTAAACATTTTTGAATCAAATAATTTTTAAAATTAAAAGATTAAAAAAGTTTTGAATGCTTATAGACAGGTCTGGAAAATAAGTCACTCACTTGTGAGTCCACTCTCCAGTGCTGACTATTACTACTACTACAGCACCTTTACAAATATCCAAATTCCCTTACACCCTTAAAAGCAAAATTAGACATTACATCTACTATTTGGTAATTTGTATTATTTCCTATCATTTTTCTGTCATTACAATAGCATCTTTCCTTTCATATCTTGAGACTTCCCTGGTGGCTCAGATGGTAAAGTGTCTGCCTACAATGCAGGAGAACTGGGTTTGATCCCTGGGTCAAGAAGATCCCCTGGAGAAGGAAATGGCAACCCACTCCAGTACTCTTGCCTGGAAAATCCATGGACGGAGGAGCCTGGTAGGCTACAGTCCACGGGGTCGCACAGAGTCAGGCACAACTGAGTGACTTCACTTTCACTTTTCATATCTTAATTTATCTAACCAACATCTGATGATTGCTGGAAAATATTTTATTTTTTTAAACTTTTAAAAGGTTGGGGTATAGTTGATGTACAATATTATATGTTTCAGGTTTAACATAGCAATTCACAATTTTGAAAGTTATACTCTGTCTATAGTTATTATGAAATATTGGTTATTATCCTGTTATTCAATATATCTTTGTAGCTAGTTTATTTATATATAGTATTTTATACCTCTTAATTCTCTTTGCCTCTTTTGCCCCACCCCCTTTCCTCTTCCCATGGTAACCACTAGCTCTCTGAGTTTATTTTTTTTTTTGTTATATATGTCAGTTTGTTTCATTTTTCAGATTCCACATATAAGCAATATCATACTGTATTTGTCTTTCTCTGACTTATTTCACTTGGCATAATACCCTCCAAATCCATCCATGTTGCTGCAAATGGCAAAATTTCTTTCTTTTTTTTATGACTCATATTGCATTATATATAATATATACGTGTGTGTGTATACATATATACAAGTCACATCTTCTTTATTCATTCATTTGTCAATGGGCATTTCATATCTTGGCCATTGTAAATAACGCTGCTGTGAACACTGGGGTGCAACTAACTTTCTGAGTTAGTGTTTTGATTTTTTCATATTAAATTATTTTTATTATTTCAAGATTATACATAGCACGGTGGTGACTGCAGCGGCATCTCTGGGCGCTTCCTAAATGACATCCTTGTCTGTCTCTGTTCCTGATGCCATCCCTCCTAAGACTCCATTTCCGGGACCCTGAGCCAGAGCATGGCCCCTTGCCTCTGGAAAGGCCCCTTGCCATTGGCTGCAAACATCACAAACCTCCTCCAGACACATCTAGCCTTCAAAACTCTCCCCCTGATTCTCCTGGCCTTTCCTGGCATCCCGAAGGCCCCTCTGGCCTCCCAGGGAGGGTTCTTCCTCCTCAGGGCAAAGCTCCCTGTGTTCTGGATCCTCTTCCTTCCTGCCTCCATCAGTTATCCCCACTCCCGTCTTTAAACTCTCCCTCTTTCCTGCCTCCTTTCTCCTGGCCCACACATGTATTCAGTCTTTCCCTTCTGCAGATCTCGTCCTGACCACGACACTTCCCCTGCGCCCAGGGTCCGGACCTTCTCCCTTCCCTTCTCAGCCAAACCCCTCAGAAAAGGAAACTGTGTTTGCTACCTTCCATCTCCTCCCTGACACGGCCCCCTGACTCCAGTATTACCCTCTAAATTGTCAAATGCAATTGGCATTGTTTGTTCTTCATCTTGCCCAGCATTGTTCAGCTTTACTCCTTGAAACTCTGCCTTGAATCATCTCTTCCTAAAATGCCTCCCTCCCAGCCTCTCCTGTCAGCTCTTCCTTCCCCCTGCTAGTAGCTCAGTCATGTCCGACTCTGTGACCCCATGGACTGTAGCCCGCCAGCTTCCTCTGTCCATGGACTTCTCCAGGCAAGAATACTGGGGTGGGTTGCCTTGCCCTGCTCCAGGGCATCTTCCCAACCCAGGGATCCAACCAGGCTCTCCCACATTGCCAGCAGATTCCTTACCATCTGAACCACCAGGGAAGCTTGCTTCTTTCTCTGCTCATCCTGAAATGGG